ATTGTCAATAATAATTATTTAACTACAGTGATTAAAGGATTTTACAATAAATATTACTGTAAAAACTACCATATATCAGATATTTTGTTCCATAAAATTTTACGATAAAAAGTACCGGCGCACTAAGCACCGGTGCATTTCACCGTAATTTTTGCAGGGTACATGATGCCCTTTTTAGTATATACTTCATAAATGTCAATACTTCAGAATGTAATACTTTATTACTATTTACTAAACACACGTTTTTTAATGATTTCTTTTTTTTTAATTTATGAACCTTATGCTTAAAAAATACATAATTTATTAAAGTGATTACTGTTTTTAAAATTCCTGATTGTATACAAGCGCATAAAAGAAAACAAAGTTCTCCAAAGACCATTTTCATTGATTTAATGATGAGTGTTATCAGTAAGAATTAATCGAGATCTTTAGTAATGAATCTTTCAATTCAATAACATGAATTAAAGAAAGTCTCTTTTAATATAGTTTACAATCATCATCATTTCCGACATTTCTTAGCTATGAGACGGAAATGTTCAATTTATTTTCTTGATGGTGATTGACAAAACAGTTGCAGCCTCTGTAAACATTAATGAATCCGTCTTTACTTCTGTTACGCTGTATTATTGGGTATATCATTTCAATCTTATCAAAGGTGAAAAGTGAATGATTTGCTTCGTTCACTTCCGTAAATAAAATAGAAAAATGCGAATAAATTCTTATTAGATGTCTCCAAAATGATACAATCATCAGTGATTGGAAGCGTGTCTTATGTCTGTTTTCAGTTAAATAAATAAAAATTACATGATACGCCTACGGTTTTAATGTAGTCTTTAGGTTTAGAAAAACATGTCTTTTATAATTAGACTGACTAAAATGTTGTTTTTAAGGCACTAGTGTTTTACATAAAAGTTATATCGTAGTTATTAGTAATTTACTATTTTAAAACCAGTGATTTTGTCAATATAATTTGATAAATTTTCTATCAAAAAAGGAAGAATTTTTTAAATAAAATGCATTTTAATGTTATAGAATAATGCTGCCTTAATGATTTGAAGTGTTTCTTATGTCTGTTTATAGCTAAGTGAAGAAAATTATATGATACATACGGTTTTAATACAAATTTTAGTCTTAGAAAAACAAGTCTCTTATAATTATACAGAATAGAACATTATTTTTAGTGGATCGAATTGGATCTAATTATTTTCTGCTGTTTTTACTGGTGTTATGTTTTGGGGGAAAAGCTATTGCCTTGTTGATTAATATTTACCATTCTATAAACAAGAAATTTGGGAATGCGATTGAAATGTTTTTATAAAATACAAATTTTTTTGAAAATTATTTTAGCGAAATATTTTTTATTTTAAAAACTGTAACAATGTAGATTAATAAAGTTATTTTTTCTGAAATAAAAACATAATGCTAAAAATTAAGTGAAAATTTACAGCAAGGAAAGAAATCATTTATCGAACAATGAACATATAAAAACGGTAAATATAAAATTTATACAATGAATACAATGAACATATAAAATTTATACAATTTAATTATAAAACTCACTAAAAATAAGATGTTGAAGTTCAAGAAATTATGTTTACACGATATTTTAGGTAAAATCTGATAGCATTCAGTACAATACTAATATAATAATCAGAATATTATAAGGAATTTTTTTCCAAAAATTAAATAATTAAGATAAAATAAAATAAAATACTGCTAATAAAATGTTTACATTTTTTAACCACGTTTGGAATTGAAACTAATTAATTTGAACCAAAGCAAAGAAACCAAAATCAAATATACTAAACAACTTAGTCTTAGGTAGTTTTAATTTAAATTTACTTCATTACATCAAAAAAATCCACACAAATTTATAAGCATTGATTAATAACATTTGATTACTGAATTTCAGTAAATTTCCATAAAGAATTCTGTTGATTGGAGTAAAGAATTCTGTTGATTGGAGTCAACTGAGTATAACAAATTATATTTTTTAAAAGTAAAGGATTGTTTAGAACTACAAAGAATGTATTATGCTATAATATTTCTCTGTAAAAATGAATTTTACGGTGAAATGGGTTTTACGGTAAAATGGAATTTACGGATGATGCATTTGAAGTGTTGATACTTTATACCATAATTTGATCTGGAATTTTTTACAATGTACTCTACTGTTGGAATGAAAATTTGAACCATAATGCTTAAACCACAATTATCAATCAAATCTATGGATTTTATTACATGCCTTGAAAGCGAGGCGGAAAAGAAAAAACACTGATAATGGAGCTATTTCAATAATGATAATTTTCGGGAGGAGTAAATCTATTCTTAGCAATAAACAATTCACTATTATTAATTTTTTCTCGGGGAAGAAGCATTTCATTATATGAATTGTATTCGTTAAAAAAAATTTGGTAGTTGTGAATGTTATACTATGCCCGAAAAAATGTAAAAATGACATTTATTTGTTACCAATTTTTACTCCCTTCCGTCTTGACATATATGGACTTTCAGCAATGTTTCATTAAAACGCCTTGCACTGAATTCTGTAATGAATACATAAAAATAGTTTGTTTTTTTTCAAATTTAGTTCGAAAAAAATAATTTCTATGTATATATGATGACTTTTTAGGGATGGAGGACAGAAGTGGATTAAACAAAAAAATTGTAATAAACAAAGCAGCTTACAGCCTAATGCATGATGATGATAATTATAAAATCTACATTAAGTTACGAAGAAATAATTTTAACAGTGCGAAACAATTGCCTTTTTCATACAAAAATACCAGAATATTTTCTATAAAGTGGAATTTTATACAGCGGGGAAAATAACAATAAATATCCTATTATTCGTGCGCCAACTTTTAAAATGCGGATATTCTTCTTTATCTTAAATGACGGTTATTAACAATAGCGGCATATTTTCGTTTACCATTTACACAAATAACAGTCACATCGAAAATAGATGTTCAACCTTGTAGTATTAACCTTGAGCTTCAATTTTCAGTTCACCTAAATTCAACACATTCATGCAATAATACCCATAAAAAAGCAAGACTCGTTTCGTTTCGGTGATTCAGAAATAATATGTACAAGAAAAAAATTTATATACGAGCGATGCTCTCAAAGAAAAAGGTTAAAAAAGGATATTTTTTGTAGTACTCTTCTATGAACAGTACGAAATTGTTTTCTATTTCAGCAAAAAAAAGAAAGAAAAAAATCTAAATAATGTAAAATTTTAAGATAAATTTTTTTAGAAACCAGAGATTTAAATATCTTTTTTATAAAAATGTATAGAAAAGTTCTTACCGCTAGTCAGATCACTATAATAATGCATAGTATTGAAAATATCTGAAAAACAAAAAAACATTTTTTAGCCATATATTTGAGTAAAAATTTTTAATATACTTCAAATCTAAGTGAAATATATTATTGTATTATAAAACTTAGAAATTGGAAATGATTATCAATTTAATGCATTGGAATATTTGACAATAATATTACTTTTTCATATTTAGTGATATTTATGCTCGTTTTTTGTAGTGTTTATGTTTATATCATTGTGATGTTTGTATTTATGTCTAGGCTGTAAAAAATTTCTGATCAAATTACGGGAAAAAATGCCAGTACTTAGGGTGCTGGTAATTTTCACCTTAAAATCCTTTTTCATAACAACATGTTACGAAACAAAAATTCTGATATACCGTAATTTCCGTAAAATCCCTAATTCACTCTAATTAAATTAATTTTACCTTAAATACGGTAAAATGCTTACGGTGAATATAGTTTTAGCGGATTTTTTTTACAGTGTAATAACTTATTTCAAAATGTCTATTTTTTCTTCACCAAGATCCGAAATCCTCCATCATTCCTACAAAGCACAAATTATCACAGAAGCATAAGATATATATTGCTTTCGAAACAGATGCAATGCATGCCAACGCTTCAAATTGCAGTGATATATAATCACAAATAATTATATTTCCATATATTTTTTATGAAAAAAATTAAAACATTTAGGTCTCATTGATTTTGAGAAAACGTACCTGTTAATTACAAAATTTTAGATGCACATAGGTTAGTTGGATTTTTAATTATTGAGCAAAAAAGTATTTTAATAGTTACTAGAAATTATGAGACTATAGGAATTGTGATTAAATTTTGTTCTGTTTTGCAGTTTTGCTTATGGTTATTTTTTATCTATTCCGTGAGGATTTTTTTTAAACAAAATTCTGTATATAATTTTTTAGACATTATAACTTTCACGCTCATTCTATTTCTGAGAATTTATGATTATTTTCGTGTCTTCTGTTAAAACCTTTAAATAACATTAAACCTCTAAAATATTACAAGCAAAACTAAATTGAAATATATAAAAAAAGTAATTTAATTTAACTATGAAATTTAAATATTGAAAAGAGGTTTTACTTTCTTTTTAATAGGTTGCTATATTACCAGAATAAATTAATAATATTTTTTAAAAGCTTATGCGTAAGTTAGAGGAAATTAAAAATGTTACATTTTGTGCTGGGTATGTTTTCATCAATTTCTTCTTTTTTTGTTTGAATCGCCCACTGCAGAAAGACAACATTCCCCAACTTTCCAAAATTGTCTTAGAGCACTTACGAAACACCACACCTGTGAAATTTGCCATACAATGTAAAAGCTTCTAAATCATATTACGATATAATGTACCAGCTCTTTGGGTGCATCATCCGTAAAATCCAATTTCACCGTAAATTATTATACCATAACTTTTGCAGTAATATTTTTTTAATTAGAATGATTCAGTGATTTTACGGTAATAATTACTGTAAAAATTACCGTACATCAGATTTTTGATCTGTAATTTGAGCCGAAATTTTTCGCAGTGTAAGTGTTGTGAAAATAAAGATCCTTTCCTCATATTTAAATTGCACTATGACTGAAGTATTAACAAAATTCAGTTTAAAATAAGTTTTTATACTACTTCTAACCTTTTGTGTTTCTAATGATTGCAGGTCCAAATGGGTGTCCTAGACGCAGAGGGCGGCAAACATATACCAGATTTCAAACTCTTGAACTGGAAAAAGAATTTCACTTTAATCATTATTTGACACGACGGCGGCGGATTGAGATAGCTCATGCCCTGTGTCTGACAGAAAGACAAATTAAAATCTGGTTTCAGAATCGTCGAATGAAATTGAAGAAAGAGCTGAGAGCTGTAAAGGAAATAAACGAACAGGCTAGACTAGAAGCGAAACTAAAAGACCAAGATGATAGTAAGAGAAAAAACAGCACAAGCTCTAGTAGTACTGGAGACAAAAAAGATTCTTCTTCGTCTTCAACTATATCTAAGGACCATCATCTAGACAAAGTTAAGCATGATGCAGACGATGATACTAGAGGAAGACGTGAAAGTCTTCAAGATGATGATAATGATTCCAGAAATTCCACCAACACTGACATCAGTACTACATCTGTTGGTGATATAGTCGATACAAGTCCTGGAGTAGATCGGTTGGTGGCTAGACCGCTGATTCCTAGCTCTGATGAAGCTAGTTTACCCTAAAGAAAACAAAAATCCACCATCTAGACCTCCAAATCTGGAGATCTAGTTTACTGATTACCAATATACGACAATACTGAAATAAATTCCTCTCTGTTGCTGCTATTGCATAAGAAATACTTACTTTTTTATTACTTAGTTCAAATGGACTGATTGAGATGATGCCATTTCAGGGTTCCCACGTTGTTGCACAAACTAATTTCTAACTTAGTTTTTATATGCTCAACCTAATCTTTTATTTGATTTATGCCTTACAATAGCATTGACCTCAGCACAAAGCAGTTATCAACGCCTTTTCCGATATACGTAGTAGAAAGAAGAACAGTTAGAATGCGGAATGATTATCTTTCTTACAAAGTAACTACAAATTGTGGCGTCTTAGATTGCTTTCATTAAAGGTCCAACTATGTCAGCCTACCCTTTGTAAGCACAATATTAAAACTATGACTTAATGTGGGAATCCTATATTCGTATGTAAAAGATATCCAATTCTTGATGAATCCCAAAACATTTTTCATTTCATAAAAAGTTATATCATTAGAAATTTCATGTTTAACCCCGAGTCTACGGTGGGTTACTACAAGAACAAACTCATAACTTTTTGAATGATTTTGTAATTGTGTCTTACCATTGAGTGTTTCTATACGTATTTCATCATTTTCTACTTCATGAGACGGATTATTTTTCTCACTTATAGAACTCCAGAGAATAAATTGAAGATACAGTTTTATAGATTTTAAATAATTCAATGCTTGTTTATTGTTATCATATGAAGTAGTTTCATATTTAATTGACTGTTTAGGTGTCTTTTTTATCAAAGTTTGTTAGTTTATTTAGAAAATATTTATTTCAGTTTATGTGATTGCAAAGTAGAGATTAACTATTGTTTTCAATATGATCAATTGTGAATTTCGTTATTAAATATAAAGCTGTTCTTTACTTACCAAAAAATTTTATCTGCATTTGCAGTTTAAGTTTTGATAAATTTTTTATTTGTGAAAATTAGCTTCAATCATTCTTCTCAAAACTTAAAATGCAATAAGCACATGGTAAATAACTAACTTCTTCTGCAAGGAACACAATCTGTTCCTTCCAGAAGAAATTAGCTACTTTATTAATTAGTTACCTATGAAAAGAATTAACTTACGCGAAAAAAATTTTCATTAAAATTTAATACTCATTTTGGGATAATTTAATTTGGACTGAATAAAACGAACACCTATAAGAGGGAATTTTTTTTATGGAAATGTTTCTCTGTCATTAAAAAGCGTTATCTGAAAATTGTTGTAAATCAAATAAACTAATAATTTTATAAACCATTACAGGTAATCTAAGAGTAATAACTGAAAAAATAATTTCATTAGTTAAAATGATGATTTTATAAAATGATAAAGATGTAGTATAAAATTTAATTTAAACTTAAAAGCACAGATTTGTTGTCACACTACATAGGAACTGCAGTTAGAAAGCCTATAGTATGTCTGAAATTAAAAATCTATTGAGGTTTTAATAGCATATTTTATTTGAAAAGAAACAATTATATTAAAACTGTTAGTCTAAAATACATAATTTTAAATCTTATTATCTGATTCTCCTAGTTTATCAATTAACTATATTACAAATACTATGATTAAAATAAGGATTAACTACGTCATTTCATTACGTTAAAGCTTATTTTCTCTTGATCGCTTATCGCAGTCGAATTAGTTCGATTTTATCATTTGTATAACCGAACTAGCATAGAGGAGATGTAATCGTAAGAGAAACTGCAGTGTTCTATGAATAAAGTCTTACATTTCTATCAAATTTTTGAATTAATATGCGATAGGCCAAGCTGCCAACTTTTACCCTTTGGTGGTAGATTTTTCCACTAGCCGCAAAGTGAATGTATTATTATTTGATTCAAAATATTTCAGATCACCATGGAAAATGAACCATTGAAACATGTTTAAGAAAATGACATTTTTGTAGTGATATTTTCAAGAGATGGCAAGATAAAAAACAAATAAAGGAAGAAAAAACTGTTTTTTATCGCTACCTCCGTAGAAAGTTTTCTTCAAAAAGCGTAAAATTTGGCAGTTACACTGTAGAATTCAAACAATATTAGTTTACACCTTCTTATATAATGTTATATATTTGAATTTTTTGTTGATTTTTATTCGTATCAATTTTCATTGAATTATTCAATTGTTAAATGCTTTTTTAACTGTTAATATAGATTAGTATTAAGTTTTTGTTGCCATTTTTGAATGTTGTTAAGTGTTAAATATTACATTCAGTGAAACTGTGTTAAATATTTTTCTTCATATGAGTGCAAAAATGTTTAAATTGAGTTTTTGTTTTAGTAAACTGCAATACAACGATACAACTTATTTAATGTTTAACACTAGATTTACCTCACAGAACAGTTACTTAGTTTCACGTGAAATGATGTTTTAAGAATATTCTAAAAACTATATATGTTTTCACGATGCTTAAAGTTTTTTGCTTAAAAAAATTGCAATAATAGGACTTAAATCATGACCAATATTTCAATTCACAACGATTAATTTAGTTAGCAAAAGTAGTAATTCCTTAAAAAAACAAAGACTATTTCATGATTTGATTAGATAAGAAAATTTTCTTGATTATAACAAAAAAAAAAATATTTACATTGCTTTTTTCCTTCCATTTCTGGAATTAATGGAAAAAGAGTACGACCATATCTACTAAATGCTTAGCATTGTAATTCAATTTAAGAAAAAGCTATTTTTTAATATTTTTTAAGAGTGGGTAACAAAAATTTAAAGCAGCTGTCGAAAAGCTAGAAATTAAAAAGAAAACTATTCCATTGTAATACTCATATGAATAGATGATTTCATGCTTATGTTACTTTTTAAGAAAAAAGAAAATTCACTATGCGTCTACTCCACATTTAGAGTACATTTTAAACACAAAATGTACGAAATGTAAAGAAACTTTTTGCAACATCGTTGAATAAATATGTCTTTAAGATTGTTCGGAATACATAATAAATATATTATAAGTATTTCAAGCGTTGTGAGTCTATTTTTAATGACATATTGGAAAAAAAATATTTCAAAAAAATTAAACAATTTGCTTTTAAAAGTATTAATTGATAGAAGTAATACAATATGTTTTTGATAGGTAAATCTAGTGTCCATCGTTATTGTAATATTTTTTTTTTTAGAAATTGTCATATTTAATGAAAATAAGTAAAGATTTGTTTATTGCCTTGTAAAAAAATTGTTCACTGTCATTTTTATGATTGCCCAAGGTATACAAGTGTTTGAAAATATTTTGATGGATGGAAAACATCAGTGAAATATCACATTTGAAAGCAAATAATATGTAAATAATACAACATTGTAATTCATAAAAAATTAGATAAAAACTCTGAACTAAAATGCGAATCAATGTAAATCTTATAATTATGAGAAATTAATAACGCGTTTGAAATATCCTTTTCCAGAAGTGTTTTAAATTAATTCCTTTTATTTCATATTTATTGGAAAATAATTTTACGGAGAAAATTGTGCTTAAGACAATTTATTTTCAGATTTTCTTCCAAAAATTTATTTCTTTATGTTTGGGCTAAAAAAAGGAGGACTTTTGAACTAATAAGTGGTTTTTCATATAATTAAGTGTAATAATCATAGTTTGATTCATTGATCAAAGCTAATAGAAGCATTAGCCGTTATTTATTACATACGCAACACATTCAATTTTTTTTTACCTCAATCGTATTTATAGCCTTAACTATGTGTAAATAAGCTATCAGTAAAGTAATTTCAATTACTATTGAATAAGTATTTAATATCTTCACTTTCTCTGAGCAAAAATATGTATTTAAAATGTCTTAAGGGTGTTATTTTTCATTATTTTATGTCACAATTAGTTTTCAACATGTTTTAATTCCTTATATATATATATATATACATTTGCAGTTAATACTATATTAATCCTTTTTACCAAAACTTAAAATTTTAATGCAATTGACCAAAAGTTTACCGAAAAATAATAACAGAATAAATGCTTTATTAAAATTTCAATCACTTCAAAAATTCATAAATAGGAAATAACAGTTGACATATTTCAAGGGCTCAAAAAACATGCCCCCATTTTCAAGACTTGACAAGCGAAAGTGAGTGAGGAGACAAAAGTTACTTGAAATATAAAACTTAATATCGACAACTTTTTATTTTATATTTCGAATCACTCTTGTTTCTTCTCATTCACGTCTGGTGAGACTTGAAAATGGGTGCCTGTTTCCGAGCGCTTGGAAAATTTTGACTGTTATTTCCTACATATATATTTTTGAAGCGAATGAATTTTTTAATAATGTAATACCTTACCACTTAAATTTTTTTGGATTACTTATTTAACAGAAGTTTGTTTAAGTTTGTATGTTGAAGATTAAGTTTGTATGGCAAATTCTGCCATGGAATTCAAACACTGAAACTCCAAATCATAAAATATCTTATAATTAGGATGAGGTCAAAATTGTTTTATATTTTTTTTTAAACACGATTCAATTTTACTAATTGGTATTAATTTTCAATGCCAACGAAATATGTTTCAGCTATTAGAAATGTAATCCGTACGACCATTTTATCAGTAATCGATAAAATTTAGTGTTACGTAGAACATATGAAAAGTCAAATTAACTAAATATGAGTATTTAAAATGAAATATCAGAAAGCAGCTTTGAAATTTGTTTCTAAAAATGTTGTGTTCAGATATAGAAATAAAATAAAGCTACTATTACAAATATTTCACTGATGTTAAAAAAGACAATGAATTTAACAATAATGATTTGTGTAATAATATTTTTAATTTAAGAATAACTTTAAGTATAGCAATCTGTGCTTGAGATTAATTTTGAATTTCAGGTATAATATAATGTTTTAAAATTGATTTTCCTTATTAGTATTTATTTAAACTCACAATTTTCAATATTTTATCAATATTTTTTTTATTTAAAACTTCGTCATTGATATTTCTTTCAATTGACATATTTCTAATACAAAATTTCAACTACATTATAAATTTTAATAACTTTTATACTTGAAATCAAATGGTATTATTAGCATGGAAACCGGCAAAAATACAATCAAATATTTTATTCATTATAAATAAATTACGCGGTATATTTTTTAACTAAACAAAATACTATCATAGAATACATTAAATAGTATTTTTTAACAAAAAATATTCTGCTTACTTTGCTCATTTTATTTTTTATCAGAAAACGTTAAGTGCGTTTAAAATACAATTTTAATCTGGTAATTCAAGAAAAAATTTCAATTATGTTAAAAATATTACAGCAAAAAATTGTATTTAACATTGATCATATTAGAGAGTTTCTTTTTTCTTTTGCTTCCAACGCCTTTCTAACTATTTTTAAAGAATTTCAACATATCTTTTGTATATTATTCTAATTAAAAGTTCTTCTGCGTTTAACTTGTAGAATAAAATATTTAATATATACCTATATATATATATAGATATAATTTTATTAAAATATTTAATATATATCAATATACGTAAAACGTATATACGTAACTTTAGAAGGAGATATCGAAGGGTTTGAAATTAGAGAAGTGCGTTGCATGGTGAGCGTCGTATTTTAAACGCGCATTTTTATTGAATGGTACATAAAATATTAACAATTAATTTTTAAACTAAAATGAGTTAAAATACGTCGAAAACCCTGAATTTCAATAATTTCAGTTACTTTTTACTAATATCTTCGCTTAAAATTTATTATCTCCTTAAAAATTCATATCTTATTTTTACTTTTTTAAGCAAAAAGCGTGATTAATTTAAATTTTTGCAAGTTTCATTACGAAATAATTTATCAGATTTTTAATTTGGTATTTATTTTCAGAATCTCAAAGAGGTCTCGAAAGTAGATGCAAAATAAAATTAAGTACTGGATCTTTTTGTATTTAATAATTTGCTGAAAGGTAAAGCTAAGGGACATTGCGTGCAGATCAACGAAATAATTGAAACAAATTGTAAATATTAATTTTTTGCTGAATTAACTATAATTAATATTGAGTTAATTTTTCATTATTATTTTGTCATTATATAATAGTTGTAATTATACCGAGAAAGTTCCTTTTTGAAAAATATCCTTAGAGGGTAGGAGAGATGGGTAGGAGAAATTTTTATTGATAACAGCAATTAAATGGGGGTAACAGCAATTGCACTTAAATAAAATTGTTGCAAACATATACCATAAGATTGAAAGTAAATATTTCACCTTAACAATTAAGGAACCAGAAAAGCAAAAGAATTTTAATTAAAGCTAAATATATAAGAAACGCATCTCTCCCAGCATATGAACAATACTCCATTTCTCGTAAGTAGTAAGTGTAAAAACTCTCACATTTTGGTACACTGCTAAAACTTCCGAATCAAATTAGTATAAGCGCCCTGAGTACAGCATCTGTGAAATTTTTACCCTAAAATCCTATACAGTAACTTTTGTAGTAGCAATTACTTAATTGCAGTGATTTTACAGTAAACATTACTATAAAAATTACGTTATATCACAATTTTTTTCCTTGAAATTTTACAATAAAAATGGGTTTTTCGGTGAAAAGTACTGCACCCGGTGCCGGTACTTGTCGGTTCGTTTTATCCTTGATTCTATTTTCAATTAGCTAGTTCATTCAAGTGCACACTACAGTGCTGTCAACTTACAAATACATAGAAATGCTGGGGGCAGACTGTCAAAATTTCCACATCAAATTACGATGAAAAGTTCCGGAACCCAAGGTGCATCATACGTAAAATTAAATTTGCCGCAAAATCCATTTTTTCGTAAACTTTTATAACTTATATTTAACAGTAATAATTATTCAGTGATTTTGCAATGAATATAACTGCTAAAATTATAGTATATCAGATTTTTTGCTCCGTAAAATTTTACTGTGAAACAATATTTTATGGTAAAAATGTCCAGTACCTGTCACTTTACCCTAATTTAATCCGGAATTTTTACAGTGTGTACTCAATCCCATTCCAGTTGTGTGCGATTTCTTCGACCTTGTGTCTTACCTTACTATTATTCCTTAGCGAATCGATGGGCATTTTGAAGAAAATTAAACTTATTATTAATTACTAAAAACGATTTATTAAAAAAAAACAAATAAATTATAATGTTACTGATTTCACTTAGATGTTTAAAGTTTTATTTCAAATTTCATTGATCCGTTTATTTTTGATAAAAAATTTTTTTAATTTTTTTTACTTATAAGATAACTTAAATTGTATTCAAATTCTTTCATTGGCAGTCATTTTTTCAACCCACAGAAAAGTATTTATTAACTAAATAAATAATTTTCTGTGTATAGACTTATTAAATTTGAAAAAGAAAAGAAACAAGTCCTATCAGGAATGAAATTTCTTTTAGCATGAATTTTTTTTTGTTCGCTAAATATTAAGAGTCATACAATGTGATGTAAGCATGTAAGTATTGATTAGTTCATAAATGTAGTCGATTTTTTTCCTTAAATCAAGTATTATAATTCAGTTTTCAACAGTTATAAATTTTACGCATTATCATTCATAAAATTTCAATTCCTTAGTGCAATTTAATAGAAATCGCTTTAATATGGAAATTAGAAGTTTATTTAATTCTGTCGCCAATTATATCTCTTTAAGACAAATATTGAATTATTACCAATTCAAAATTGCTTATTTCAATGAGAATATCATTAAATATAATTGATTTTAATTTTCTTCATCAATTTAGAAATATATTATTATTTTTTGCAAAAAATTAAATTATTGTTTAAAATTATTTTTAATTAAGAACACATATAAGTTATTTATCTTTTAAAATCCCCTTGTATATAAACGCCCTCTAGCAGAATTGAAGGAAATCATATAATTTGTTCAACTAAAACCAAATGTCTGTTTTGGAAAAGACAAACTGCTGACAAAACTGAAGATTTGAATTTCAGCAGCAACAGTGCAATTAATTTTCCTGCGAAACCATGTATGTAAACAGTGCACAGTTGTGTGTTTGTGTTTTTGTGTACTAATGTTGATTGACTATAAGTACATTTTGCACATGTGTGTAAGTAAATAAAGAAAAAAAATTCACAGGAGTGATTTTGGAAAAACAGAATAGACGTTTTGCCAATTTCTCTCGTTTCCATACGTATTTATGCTACCACATACGTTACTCGTCAATGTTGATGGTAAATAACATTTTATCACATAATAAATATATTATATATATATACTTATAATCTTTTACAACATTTCAGTGGCTTGACTTGCAATATACAGCTGATAAAAAAGCTTTGTTGTTCGCGTCTTACTATCATTGTTAATTCTAGTGTGGAATGTGAGTTGTAAAAGTTCACTTTTTTCTATTGTTCTGTTCATTTGTTAAATAACTATTGATTATTAAAATTCCAAATGCTTTCTTGTAGAAACAACTGTCCAATATTGGACTATTGAAAAGTGTAATAAATACTATGCTACGTACTATTACCTTGTTTCAACGTCAAAACGATTGAAATTACAACTGGGTCCCAGTGCAAATCTCAAGTTTTACTTTTTAAGATTTAATGTGAGAAAAAAAAAGGAATATTTTTTTGAAATTATGAGCAGTTTAGGAACTATAAATTAAAACGCAAATACGAAATACTAACTGTAATCACGGTAGTTCTAGCTTGAAAATTATTAAAAAATATCAAAATTAATGAAGAATGAATTGAAATTGAAAAATAATTGTAAAAATTAAACTTTTAATTTAAAAGGAAAATTATTGTCGTCCGCTAACTTCTCTCTCTTCCTTTTACAAAAAAATCCCGAAATTTGCATTAATTAAATTAGGTTCTAAAATTCACTCCTTAATCAGCCTCAGAGCATCTGCGAAAAATCTTCATCAATTCTTTATTTTTTACTTTTAAAATTCAAAATTTTATTCATTTTTAATTTTTATTAAAATTCAAATTTTTAAATAAAATTTGTAAGAGAATTAAAAAGCTTTCATAGGTTGATGAAGAAATTTAATGTTATATTTTTTCAATAAAATCAACTTGTTGAAAATATATTCGTTTATTACACACTTTTGCATCAAAATTACTAACAGAATGCAATTTCAATGGCTTTTTCTTTTGACTATTTTAAGTGTACTATTTTATCATCCACTAAACTTAGTTGATATTATGCATTATATTGAACTTAAGTAAAGAATATATCCTTTTTATATGCATTATCATTTAAATATCAATATCTTAGCATAACGGACTATAAAATGTTTATCTTTTTCCTAAAGGTAAACACTAAAAAATAATTCGCAGTTTAAAATAAGTTAGTTTTTAACTTTTGAAAAATAAAAATAAAATATTTCAAGCATCGAAAGAATTTAATGAGCGAATATGATGCTATTTATATGCATACATGGTAATAGTAACTAATTTTAATTAGATGTTTCATTTAGGTAAATAATAACAAGAAATTTCAGTTTCAATTCTGGATTAAATTTCTTGTTTTTTCAAATGTTTATTATAACAGAAACAGTGAATCATTATTTTCGTGCGAAAAAAAATTGCAATTGGCATGTAGTCTAAGTAGAACTAAATTATGAAGCTTTTTCATTTGTATATTTTATTTTTAAAATACACAAAGAGATAAATAAAATAATTGATGTGAAAAATAGTTTATTATTTTTAAATGTCTTATTACTACTTAAAAAGTGCACAATTATGTACTTGCGAGTTAAAGTTACAACTAATATGTATTCTAAGGAATTTATCACTATGCTATTTTTAATACTACAATTTGACTCCATAATAGTTATATTCTTTTTGGTGTTGAAACAAGTGTTTAGCCTGTAGAAATCTTAGTTGTTAAACCGCTTCTACGCCTGTAAGTTCGTGTAGTTCTACAGTCTGATGAAAGATACGTCATTATACGTTAGTACTTACGGACATAACTCAGATGATTGCTCTAATAAATACAAATCGCAAGAGTTATTTTGTGTTGTATTATCAATCATTTTATTTACATTAACTTACACTATCATACACACTTTTAGAAGAAAAGTTTTACAATTTTAAACTTTTGAAGTACTAGGAAATTGAAATAAATCATTATGATGAAGTTCATCAATAACACATTACTATTTTTAACTCTATATTTTTGTAAATAAAAAACAAAACAGTTTTAATGCTTATAAACATGATTAAGATTAATATTCAAGATAAAAAATAATATAAGAGCAAAAATAATAAAATCTATTTAATCGTTCTTCTATTTAATCCGCCACACATTTCCTCCTCTATCTGTTTATTCCCGAATTGTAATTGCATAAACATTCAATTCGTCAAATATTATAATAATATTTAGTCGATTCGTTATAGTTAAACACGAAATGCTGACATTTTCAAGTTTTATTGAACTATCGAATGCAGTAAAAAATATGTAGAATCGTTACAGTTAAATAACCCCTTTTATTATTGCACCATCGCATGTAAATTTTCAGAATATATTTTTTTATGTACACTTTGCTTGAAAACTATTCAGATATGTACTAATATACAATAATTTTATATGCAATATAAAATTATAAATTTAAATTACAATTTTATAGTATAATTAAGAGGTCCGTAAAATCATTAAATGATTTAAATGCTCTGAATTGAAACATCAATTTCAAACATAATTTTTGTTGTTATTAAATTTAGTTTCTATTCTGAAATAATAGCTAAATTAACGAATGCAATTAAGCTTTTCTTCAATAAAAACATACTATACTAAGTGGGAATTGTAACATTTGTTAAACAATTGCTCTACACTGTAAAAATTCTGGATCAAATTATGATAAAAAGCACCGGCACGTTTATCGTAAAATCCGCATTTACCACAATATGTTAACCGGACAAAAAATTTGCTATATCGCAAATTTTGCAGTAATAATAACAATAAAATTACTTAATCCCTCTAATTAAATAAATTTTTCTTTAAAAACTACGATATAATATTTTGAAATAAAAATGCAATTTACAGTAAAATGCATTTCACGGATGATGCAGCCAACATACTTTATTCCATAATCAACGTAGGCTAAATAACGCTTTCCCCTTATCTCCTGAAAACAGCTCCTAAAAACCAAAATACCTCATCAAAAAACTCTATCATAAATGTAATCAAAAACATTTTAAAGTTCTATTTAATAACCTGAAAATCATCAGTAAAGCATCCTGATAATACTAACAATAAATCTTAAGATCTTCAGAAATGTTCAAAAGCGAAATAAAATGATCAAAAGTAAATTGAAATTAGCAACTTTATTATTTAATTCCCTATTTCCACAATAATATTCTGGAATTATCTTATCATCATGATAGCAAGTAAGTACAATTTAGAAAATCATTTCTTTCCTTTTCATAGCTATCCCATACCGAAGACGTGCTTTGGCAAGTTTCCAATCATCGATTTTCAATTTCACTGGAATATTTTTCTTTGTCCCTCTCCTCATTCAAGACATATTTATATCTAATCAATAAAACCTTTTTTTTTACCTCACACTAAATGAGTTTTAACTAAAGCAAAATGTCGAAATAAAAATATATACTTCCATGTCTTATAAACACTTCTTTTCTTTATAGGGATTTAGTAGAAAAATGGCTGATGATTCACAAATTACCTGCAAAAGAAAAAAAAAATTTCAAAAGATTAAACTTATAATAAAATAAAATATCACTGAGTATATCAACAAAATTAGAATTTTACTGGAATATTTTCTTTCCCTATTTTTCTCATTCAATACATATTCAGGATCTCACAGATAAAAAAAAAATTCTGGTAAAATTGCCGGACTGTATGATAATGACATTCCTGGCAAAAAAAAAAACAAAACAATTCTGGTAAATGCAAACAAATTATATGGTACTCAAATCATTGACTTGGTAATTTTTCGGTTGATATGGTAACGGTAAATCGGAAATTCTGGTTTTCAAATTTATAGTCCTTACTATCACACATGATGCAAAAAATACCGAATAAGTGTTTTTCCTGGCATGCCCTAATGTATCACGATAAAATTACTAAATTTTAACACATTTACAAAATTTTATCACATATTATAAAAACGTGTTTCAGTGGTAATTTTACCAAAATCATTATGAAAGCGTTTCGGTGAAAATAATCCAGCTTTTTAGTGCTCCCATCAGGCCAGAAACGCAGAAAACATTACCATATACTGATAGTTTAGACCACACATTTTTCTCAGTGCATTTATTAAAATCTCTTTGATTTATTTTCTTTTTAAGATGTTTTTTACAATAAAGTACTGAAAACTGAAATAAATTGCTTTTCAGATCCATTGAAAGAAAAAGAATGAGAATTTGCAAGTGATCTGAAATAAAAATACGATTTACAAAATAAATTTTATGAAAAAACGAAATATATAGTATTTATAGCCAAATATGTCAATAAAATACATTTTAATTGTAAGATCTTTCTTTAACCTTTTACTAATACAATATGTATTTAAATATAATTATCAAAACTTTTTTACTTATTTTTGTAAATGTCTTTTTTACTATCAGCGTGTTTCAACTCAAATTATTTTAGTTAATTGGCGTGTCTTTACTAAAAATTCATAAATCACCAGTAAACAGAAATGGTGATGATGATTGATTTGACTGGTATAATTTAAAAAAAAAAATATTACACATTGTCAAATTATATTAAAAAATTAAATTCTATATAAATTCTGTGAATCGTTCTTATTTATTCTTTTTTATTGGATTCCATTGTTATTCATATTAGATAACTGCTAGATCTTTGCCTTATTTTAAAAACTATTATGTTTAAAGCTGAACATGTTTAGGATTTCAGTCTACCTTAGTCTACCTCCGTCTACCTTCATGATACCTTAGAGCATTTTGTAAAATCCATTTATTAAATTATATTTACGTTTAAGTTTCGTGGTAATAAACGTGTGGTATTACCTTGTAGTTAAATGCATGAACTGTAATTTTAGGAACCAGAACTTCCGGATAACATTATCATTTTAATGGAAATTTTACCAAAAGAATGTTTTAAATACCGTAAATGTTGATTTTATTAACCAAAATTATGTTATTTTTGTTACCAGAAATGTCCTTACTATACAGTATGGTAATTTTACTGGAATTTGATCTCCATGTATGATAAAATATCACAATTAGCGATAACTATTTCAACAAGATTTACTTCACCATGAAAGTTAATTGCCTTAATTATTTTAAAGCATTTTTCCCAATCAATACACTTAGAGAAGCAAATTTATGAAACAAATTGTCAAAACAATATATCTACTTTAATAATTTATCAACATTATTTTTTAGGCCTCTTTCATTCATTACTGTTCTTTTTTCAGACTACCCATTCAAAAATTTGTTGAAATAGAAATGATTTAAAATTTGTTATAAAATCGCTCATAGAGCCATTTTTTTTAATGAAGTTTTCTTTTTCCCCCCTACATAGCTTTTTACAGTAGATGCATTTAAAACCAAAACGAATTATCAAAATAAAATATACTTACATTTTTCCCACTCTCTGTTAGTTTTCCAATTGTTCATCACACGGATTGGGAATGCCTGGATAATAAGGATTAAACACTAGCAAGTAGCCTTAAATGAAAATTCAATTATATAAAACTTATAAATCATAATTTATAAAATAAAATAAAACTTATGAAAAAGCAAACTATGCTAATAAATATGTAGCATTTCAACAAATGTTAAAAAGTTAATGTATCATTACACTGCTATTTGAGTTAAATTAGGAGCTTTGGAAAGACGGACACTTAACTAAATGAACATTCAATTTCGAATAAATTTTAAGCAGTTACAGTAAGTATTAAAAAACACAAACACTAAAAATCAAAATGTAACTGTATTTAAACTCCAGAATTTCAAAATCTAAACTGAAATTATAAAATTTGAATTTTCAAATTGATACAAATTAAAAATATTGTTATGATGTTTGCTGCATTGGATCAAATAAGACAGTATATTATAAAGTTGTTGAAATTGAATACAGCACATTTTTAAATGACCAGTTTTAACGAAAATTCTATTTTTTCTGAAATTATTTCCAGGTAAAAGACTTCAAGACAAAAATACGTCGCAAGGTTATATTTCCCCATTTCCAGAACACATCAGTATTTCTTGAAAAAAAAAAATTATGCAAATAATAATATTTTAACATTTTATTATGATACTAAATTTAACTTTAATGCTGAAATATTCTATTGTATTAAACCTCCAATAGCCAGTTATCACAGAAAAATAACGGTATTATCAAGTATAAGATGTTCTGCAAACATTTTTATGAATTGTACAATGTGTAATTCTTAAAATGAGAAAAAAAAAAGCCTCATGTAGCAATTTGTCTTAATGACTCAAGGCACAATAACACATTGCCAAAATGTCATTTGTTTATAATTGCACATCATCATGAAGTTCTTTTTTTTTTATAATGATTCGTATCATTTTGTCATAAAACCTATGCATAAACTATTTCAAACTCAATTTCATTAAACTGAATATTAAAAATAATTAAATTTATTATGGGTCCTCTTCAAAGTTAATTTGTTTTAATTACTTAACCTTATTCGAAACTCTTTTCTGTCTTAATTTATTATAGTGACACGTGATACAATGCAGGTTTACATAAATTACCAAAAAATAGTTTATAAATGATAACTCAATCAAATAAAATAAACTTATTAACGACCTTATGATGAGAAGATAGAAGTTATTTTGATGATTTTGGAAGTAACTTCTAACTGAAAAATATTAATTTAAATAGCTTATTTCAGCTGTATACTTATTGTGTTTCCCGAAAGATTTTATTTACGTATTTGAAGTAGTCTCAAAATTTATGATTTAATATATTATTCTTAATATAAAATGATATTGACATGGTTACATAAAACTTATTTAAAAAATATACAAACGTGTAAATAAAAATTTGAAATGAATTCAATTTTCTGCTGCGAGAGATTTTTTAACAGATTGATACCTTTGTAACACCGATTTCAAATCTGCAATCGGTTTCGCTCTCCAAGTTACAATTTTTTTAAAAGACATTTAGACGAAATGTGTAAGCTTAAAACGTTACATATAACAGGGGGTCACATAAATGTTGCGAAAAGTTTCTTGGGGAGTTAAGGTATATCATCAGGATTAAAACTGCATAAAACCACATGCCCCGAAATGTCGTCACATGCCGCTAGCAGTTCTTCCATGCCCAACATTTTCGGGCAAGGATTCCTTTGAAATTTTAATCCTCATGATGAGCCTTACCTATACTTACCTATACCTATTTTCGAAATATTTACCTAACCCCCTGTTTCATATAACGTTTTCAAACTTATACATTTCGACAAAAAAAATAGATTAAAAATGTCATTAAAAAATCTGTAATTGTAAGAACAAAATTAATTTCCGATTTAAAATCCCTCCACCCGAATTAGGCAAGATCAAGTATTTATATAAATGCAACAAAAAATTTGTTCTGAAGTGTTTTTTTGCATTACCATCGAAAAAACATTAACCAAAACAGGGTAATGTTAAAAATTATGTAACTTTTAAACAGTTTATTTTTCTAAAAATTTTATTCAAATTTACCTTGCAAGTTTTTCTATAGAAACATCTAAAAGTTGTAGATTAAGTGCCATTTACAAATATATGATTATTTTATACAATAATTAAAGTTCATAATATTACATGCTGAACAACTAACACAAAACATAATTGTTTTTATTATGCGTTGGGCAAAGAAGTTTCTTTCACCAAGTATAGTAAATTTCACAGCTGTTCTTACAATAAATGTAGTATCCCATTTACAGTGTTTATTAAAAGAAAGTGCTTTAAAATAACATTCTTACGTTGCGTGGAAAAATACATCTATGACTGAAAATGCTTAAATGATTTTGGAATAACCATGAAAAGTGCAGAAATGAACCTATATCGATGCATTCAATTTGAATTAACTTAAATTATCACAAAGCTATTAAGAGGGATCAACCATACATTAAGTTCTGTAATACAACATTTTTAGATTGTGGTAAAATAACCGGCAGCAATCCAATTTACCATAAAGTTTACGGTAAAGAATTTTTTTTTACCTTTACGGTTTTGAAACCGTTTGCAACTAGTATGGTTTAAAAAAAAAACCTGAATACAAAACTGTACAAGCTTTTAACCCTTTACAACTAGCATGATTTTAAAACTGTAAACATGAATTTTAACTAGACATTGGAGCTAAACCATCTGTTAGGTAATGTGCATTGGAGTTAGATTGAGGTTGAGTTGTGTTTTATCAAATGAACCGTGTTTTATCGACTGAATCAATTAAATAAACTGTTATTTAACCATTTTTTCTCAAAATTTTTTTAACGGTGTAGTGAACTAAGTAAAAAATATTTATTTTTCAGGAAAAATAAATATTACTACATACGAATTCATGAAACTCTACAAAGGTTTTTCTTATGACATGCATTTTGCACGGAGAAAAAAATTGTAAAATCACAGCACTGTATCGTAAAAATATTTCTAGTAGAAAAAAAAAACAACAACTTAATTCTGGTAATAAAACCAAAATATACAGTATTGAAACCGTTCATTAGGTAACGGGTTACCAGGAATTGCTTTTTCAAATAATGGTTTTATTACATGACATTTAGTAGAAATACAAAATTAAAAAGTGCACTTTAACCGAATGAATGATTTTTAATGCCATTTTCTAAGTTATTTCTATAAAATTACCAAATTTTAACGCATTTAATAAAAAAACATTTTATTGTTAATTTTACCAAAATTATTTCTAAAGTGCTTCGGTAGAGATTACCGTGCTTTTTGGTGTTCCCATAGAGTCAGAAACAAGGTACATTTTACCACATTCTGGTTGCTTACCGTAATGTTTTCCAGTATTTTCCACAGTGTATTACATACCTCCTGGATTTAGATTAAAAACATCTTATAAACAGTTAAGTTGATTAGACGGATTAATTCCTGTTATTACTTAATCATTTAAATTTAGTATTAGCAATAGAATACATTTTAGATTAATTATTCGTATTGTAAAAACGTTACTATTTCATTAGTATGCGATTTGTATTCATATTCCTTATATTTTTGTTTTAAAACATATTTTGAATAGTTGAGTTAATTAGTAAGAGTATGCTATGTTGCATTAGTAAGTATGTTGCTTTGTCATATAGTTTTGATAGTAGCAGTAGAATAAAATTTAAATTAAATAACATCATAACACTGTAACAAATTTTGTCAATGGGAAATATCGTGAGTTTTTAAAGATTAGAATTTAAAAAATTCCAGACCAAATTACTGTATGAAGTACACTTTGGTTCCATTATTCGAAAAATTTATCTTATCGTAAAATCCATTTTTATCGTGAAATATTATACCTGCAAAAATTACAACATTACAATTGGAAATGATACGATTTTTTTCAATATTGTATCGGCATTTAAAAAAATTTCGGATCAATTTACAGTATAACGTACCGGACTTTGGATGCATCAACCGTAAAATCCATTTTTCACAAAAAATATTATATCGTAATTTTTACAGTAATATTTATGTAAGTATAATTTGATGATTTTACGATAATATTTGATAATGATTTTCCGATAATTACTACTGTAAAAATTACGGTATATTAGAATTTTTCTTCCGTGAGATGTTTCGGTAAAAATGGATCTTACGATAAAAAGTACCGACACCTTGAGGGCTAGTACTTTTTACCATAATTTGGCCCTTAATTTTCACAATGAGTATGCCTTAAATTTTTTTTTTCAATTTTATAATTTTTTTTTTGTAAATAACAGCGAAGCCAGCAAAACATATTAATTTATGATGTTGGCTTTGTCATTTGATTTCAATAATAAAATTGGAATAAACTCTAAATTAACTTTTTGCATTCTAGAAACGTTCCCAAAATTCACCAATAGGATAACGTTTAAACAGGAAACTAACCATCTAAAATAACCAACTCGGTTTTTGAGTATAATTTATTACAATAATTGGACCTGAAGTTCGTGGAAGTTTGAATGAGGTTCGAGTGATTCATCTATGGAGGAGTAAAGCGATTACAGATTGCTTAGTGAATGTTCCAAGAGAATAATAAAATTGAGGACAAATAGCCTTTAATAATCTTTGGTTTTTCTTCTGAAATGGCCAGGCAACACTGAGCATTTCAAAGGAACATTTATTCTGCGCACTTACTTTAAGCACCCAATTCTGAAGTTACTGGTTTTCCCACATTTCTCCGGGCTTTAATAGTGAACATTATTTATAGTGTCTATTTGAATCATTCTTCGGTGAAAATGGTAATGAGAATGATGCTCTGAGTTTAAATTGAAGATTATATTTTTATTGATTGATCATTTATCGTAATGTATCGATGATGCACTGAATACTTTATACCGTGATTTGATCTAGAATTTTTTACAGTGCACTCTTAAGTAACTTAAAATCGAATCTATTTTTTTAAAACTATACATACCATTTTACGGTAAACAATTTTTTGGGCTTTAGAGTGGACAAATTAATTAATTAATTAATTAAAAAAATATTAAGCATTTTTAATAATAACCAACATG